TTATAGACTTGCCTTGCCACCTAGCTTGTCAGCTGTGCATCCCGTGTTTCATGTATCTATGCTATGGAAGTATCGCGGAGATCCGTCACACGTGTTAGATTTCAGCACTGTCCAATTGGACAAGGATCTGTCATATGAGGAGGAGCCGGTGGCTATTCTAGACCGGCAGGTTCGACAGTTGAAGTCGAAGAGTATTCCTTCGGTGCATGTTCAGTGGAGAGGTCAGCCTCCTGAGGCATCGACCTAGGAGTCCGAGTCCAATATACGGAGCTGTTATCCTCATTTATTTCCCGACTCAGGTACTTCTTTCTTTTGTCCGTTCGAGGACGAACGGTTGTTTTAGAGGTGGAGAATGTGACGACCCAAAGGGTCATCACCGTAATTCTACCTAGTTCCGTGCTTCCGAGGCCCTGAAAACCTCGCTTTTAGTTGACTCAATTTGCGTGCGCAGTTCGGGCGCATAGCCGGAAAGTTTTTATGTTAGAATATGCGAATTTTGTGAAAAAATTGATGAATTTTGATATTAATATGCATAATATTGACTTCGGTCAATATTTTGGGTAAAACGGACCCGGACCTGTGATTCGACGGTCCTGGAGGGTCCGTAAAAAAATATGGGACTTGGGCGTGTACCCGGAATCAAATTCCGAGGTCCCAAGTCCGAGAAATGAATTTTTGTGTGAAATTATTTTCTGAAATTAATTAAGAAAAATGAAGAAGAAAATTGATCAGAAAACTGTGGTATCGGACTCGTATTTTGGTTCCGACGCCCGGTACGAGTCTTAAATATGTTTTAAGCACTATCTGTAAAGTTTGGCTAAAAACGGACGTCATATGACGTGTTTCGGACTTAAAATGGGAATTTAAGTTTTTATGAAAGTTGAAAGAAAATCATGTATTTTGAGGCTTGATCCTATGTATATGATGTTATTTTGGCAATTTGATCGCACGAGTAAGTCCGTAAGGTGTTTTTTAGATCATATGAATGTTTGGTTTGGAGCCCCGAGGGCTCGGTGAGTTTTGAGTAGGGTCCGGTAGGTCTTAGACTTAGAAAAATATACAGGTTCAGATGTTGAAGGCCCAGTGCGGCCGCGGCTATTTCCGCGCGGTCCGCGCTGGCAGCCACGCGACCGTGGTGCTTTTCTGTGCGGTCCGCGTGGTGGGGTTCAGAG